GGGTGCCCAGAGCAGCTGTGGCTGCCCCTGGATCCCTGGCAGTGTCCCAGGACAGGTTGGAGCAGCCTGGGACAGTGGAAGGTGTCCCTGCCATGGCAGGGCTGGAATTGGGATGAGCTTTAAGTCCCTTTTAACCCCAACCCATCTGTGAGTCCATGATCAGAGGCCTGAGTGCCCAGTTTACCCTGAATGATTCCTGGTGCTTATAAGCACAAACAAGATTTAGCAGCGAGCTCTTCTCTATATTCAATTAAAAATTAACTTGAAATGGAAGTGGGAGCCTTGAGCTGGCTCATCTCCCCTGCTTTCTTCACTGCCTCCCTCCTTGACCTCAGACAGAACCCGGGAGCTTTTATCAGTGAGACCAAAGTCAACGTGGGGAGTGTGCAGAGTTTCAGCCTCCCAGACAATGCTTGAATGACAAGTTATCACCAGCAAATTGGAGCCCGAGGAACTTAATCAGCAGCCCCTTGGAGCTGTGTGTGCACCGAATAAAGGCGAGATAAAGGCTCACGTTGGGAGAGCCTTTTGAAGTGTGACTGTGCCCAGAGGACAAAAGGAAAATCCAGTGCCTGCCTGCTGGAAAGACAGTGAGCAAAGAGCATTGCTGGGAGTTATTGAGCAAGGAGAATTCGGCTGGGTGGGAGAAGAAAGGGGATTGTCTGTCACTACATCACTGCTGGCAGGACACCGGTGATAAATTCCTGTGACTGGGGCAGAGCTTTGGGAATGGGCTGCAGGGCAGGGAGGGGGCCAGGTGGGAGTGCTGAGCAGAGTGCCCGTGTCTGGGTGTCCCTCCGTGTTCTGGGGACACTTTGGGGCTGGGTTGGGGTAATGGCAGGAACAAATCCAGCCTGGGGGGGGGGAGAATGGCAGGAGAGCAGCTCTGAGGGGAAGGGCTTGGGGCTGCTGCTGGCTCAGAAGCTCAGCTTGCCCTGGCCATGGTGCTGGAAGCCCCCTGTGCCCTGGGCTGAGCCCCCAGCGTGGGCAGCAGGGCAGGGGGGGGATTCTGCCCTGCTCAGGTGAGACCTCACCTGCAGAGCTGGCCCAGCACGGGAGGGACCTGGAGCTGCTGGAGAGAGCCCAGAGGTGTCCCCATGGTGGGTTTAGGGGCTGGCCCTGGTGGCAGTGTCCCCCCCATGGTGGCAGTGTCCCCCCCCCGGGGCTGGCTCTGGTGACGGTGCCAGTGACGCCAGGAGCGGGGAGGGCCCGGAGCTGCTGCGGGATCAGTCAGGAGGAGGAGGAGGAGGAGGAGGAGGATGCACAAAGTGCCGCTGTGAGCCCGGGAATGTCCCCTGGGAGTGTCCCCCTGTGCCCGGCCATGGCACGGACAGAGCCCTGGAGCTGCTCCTGTGGGATGGGGAGTGCCTGAGCCAGGGTGAGGAAAGGGGGTGTGAGCCAAGGGGAGTGTGCCCGTGTGTCCCCGTGTCCCCGTGTCGCCGTGTGAGGATGGGGGTGGTGGGCCAGGCTGGCTGTGCTGTGGGGTTTTGTTGTGTAATTGTTGTTTGTTCCCTGTGCCCCCCCTGCATTTGTGGGGTTTGCTGGGGCAGGGGAGCAGCGGCAGAGCTCTCAGGTGCCCTGGCTGTCCCCTTGCTGCTGGCAGGACAGGACAGGACAGGACAGTCCCCAAAGCAAACGGTGCCTCTGTGCCTGCAACTTCACCGAGTGCAGCCCAGCAGGGTGTGAAGTGGAGCAGTAATTAACCCCTTTGGGCAGTGATCAGAACAGAGAAATCTCGGTTTGGAATGAGCTGCAGCAGGGTCACTTCTCACTCTCTGTCTCTGGTTTGGAGATCTGGCTGTTACAAACAGGGAGATCTGTGCCATCGTCTTGGATGTGTTTTGGCAGGGCTCCTTTATCTTCCTCCTTTATTCCTCTCTGGGAATCCTGGGATCCTTGATTTGCAGCAAGCTGAGGCAGGAAATGTGATCGTTATAAATATTTATGGGTTGGCAGCCATTTCATTGTTCTGGATTACCCCTGAAAAAAAATATAAAGATGTTTTCTCATTATCATCTGTCAGATGAACGATTGTGTGTGGCTGGAGACCTCGGGATTGTCCTTTGGGAACAGAAATCCTGGTGCTGTGGGAGGGGAGGCTGGGCTGAGTGGGGATCCTGGAGAGCAGGAGTTTGGAGTGGGATCAGCCCATCCCATCTGCCTGGGATGGGATGGGATAATGGGATATTGGGATGGGATAATGGGATAATGGGATATTGGGATGGGATAATGGGATAATGGGATATTGGGATGGGATCACAGGGGCACAGCCTCAGGAATCCTGCCGGGGGTACCAGGACTTGCAGCCCCTCTGTCATTGCAGCTCATTTGTGCCCCAGGGTCTGGTTCTGGTGCTCCAGGACAAGCTTTGAGCTGGGAGAGTTCCCAGGACAGCTCAAAGTCGCTGGTCTGGGCAGTTATTCCAGGAGAGTGAGCATGGAATGTGCCTGATCTCATCTTCCTGCACAAAATGCTTCTCAGGGTGTTCTGTTAGCTTGGTTAACTCTCCTCCATGAATACTTTTCTTTAGCACAGCTGTATCTTTTATCTTTAGGAAAGATTTTGGTAGATAGGCAAAAAAAAAAAGCCCCAAAAAAGGAAAAGCCAGAGAGAGGCTGCTGTGTGCAGCACAGGCACAGGGATGGTTGGGTGCTCCTGACACAAGTGACCATTCCTGTGGGGACAAAGGCAGCTCCTGCTCTGGGCTGCAGCTGGGACTTGTTCAGGTGCCCAGGATGGTGCCAGGCTGCTCTCCTGTCCTTGGAGCAGCAGCAGGCAGGTGGCAGAGGAGTTCCAGGCACTTGGTCCGTGTTGTCCCCTTGCTCCTGTTGTTGTCAGGATGGTTTATTCAAGGTTTATTCAAGGAGGTTCTGATCCATCCCATTCAGGGAGCAGCATTAGGATTTGCTGTGGGACATTTCAGTGGGGGAATCTCTGGAAGCTTTTGATACCAGTGTTGAATTTCCAGGCTTCTGGTGTCAGAAATGCTGTTAAAACCAGGGATTCCTCACAGAAAATGTGCCCCATTTTCCTCCCAGTGCAGCTGGGGCTCACAGCCTGTGCACTCAGCATTGGCAGGGCTCTGCAGAACTCCACCTTTTTTTTTTTTATTTTGTCCCAAGTGAAGCGAGGAGCTGTTTTAAGTGGGTTATTCTGTGGTGGTTGTCAGTTCTGTACATGACTCATCTTGTTTTCCTGCAGTCTGGGAGATGGATTTGGGAAGACTTCACAGCTCTTTTCCCTTCCTGCTCCAGATGATGGGGCAGAGGGCAGCTCTTTGAATTCCTTATTTTTCCTATCTGGAGACACCTTTGCCCCTGTGCTATCTGCAAGCTAAATATTCTCAAATATCACCCATGATCCTTCTGCCTGGGAGTTTTAATCCTCCTCTTCCCCCCACCTCCCAGTTTTGACCGGATTTTGGTTTTTGCTCTTCTGTTTTTCTGTTTGAATGACTGCAAACACTCAGTGTCTTCCAGAACCAGAATTTTGGGACTGCCCACCCAAGCTAAGCATTGTTTTCCATGGGCTGGAGCAGGTTAAACAGGAGGCCCAGTTTATTTGACTGTGAATACTGTTTTGACAGTTTTGTTAACTTTTTGATGGATACACTGAAGTAAATAAGGTACAAATACTGTGATGACAATTAATATATACATGCTTATTTTTAAGTGTTTTTTTTTTTTTTTTTTTTTTCACAATGGTGTAAGGTTTAGTTAACTAAACATATTATTTAATTATGATTTTTTTTTTCTTTGGCTGAGTTCTCACCTGAGGGAGGCTGCAGGTCCCAGTTTGGTGTTTTCCCAAGCCCCCATTTTGGCACTTTGTGCTTTCCAGGCCCCATTGGATGCTTGGCTTTCCCTATTTGCCTTCCTGCCCATCCTGCTCTCATCCTTGCCAGATCCACCTGGGATACCCTTCAGCTCTGGTGGAAGTCCTAAATATTCCTTTTCTCCTCTCCATGTCCTTCCTTTTAATGGCAAAATATCCTGGTGGTGAGTCCTGGATTTAGGGAAAAAGCATCACCTAGATTATTTACTTTGCTCTGGAGAGTAATTTCCAGGAACAACCCCATCTCCAGGTGATCTGCTGGAGCTGGGGAGGCTGTACCTGGCATAGATCACAAGTGCCTGTGGTGTTCAGCTCAGGGAACACCTCAGTAACTCTTTATTTCCACTGAAATCTGTGCTTTTCCTCCTAAATTTTGGGGGTTTTTTGTAAAAAGAGGTGAAAAACTTAAGAAATGCTCAGTTTCCCCCTTTTTCCCCCAGCAGGTTTTTCCTCATATAATGGAGGAGGGATGAATGGCACGAGCACCATGCTGGATTTCCTGGAGGAGCCTCTGCCAGGCGTGGGCACCTACGAGGATTTCAACACCATAGACTGGGTGCGAGAGAAGTCCAGGGACCGAGACAGGCACAGGGAGGTAAAAACTCCTCCTCTTCCTCCTCATCTTCCTCCTCTGCAGGTGCTCCAGGCCAGGTTGGAGCAAGCTGGGATAGGGAAGGTGTCCCTGCCATGGCAGGGGTGGCTCTGGGTGATCTTTAAGGTCCCTTCCCACCCAAACCATTCCATGATCCCTGACCATTCTCCTCCCCACGCCCAGAGCTGCAGGAGCAGCCACTGCCAGATGCTTTTTCTCCCCACCTCAGAGCACAGTCCCAGTGTCACCAAGTCCTTTTAGAGCATTTACACCACAGTGGGTCAGAGTTCTCAGGGATTGTTGTTTCTTTGTGCAAACCCTTTCCCAGATCACCAGCAGGAGCAAGGAATCCACCTGGGCACTGCTGCACAGCGTGAGCGACGCCTTCTCTGGCTGGCTCCTGATGCTCCTCATTGGCCTGTTGGCAGGTGAGAGCAAACCTCCAGGTAAAACTAATTCCTGCAGCATCAGGATCCATTCCTCCCCCTGGCCTGGGGGTCTTGGAGCAGCAGGATTTTGCAGTGAGGACTTGTGCTGCCTTGTAAATTCACAGGGAAATATTTTTAAGTAAGTGATTTGAGGCTGTGTTTGTGCAAAACCAAAATACTAAACTGAGGTTGGGAGGTGTCCTGGACACTGCTCTGGGTCTGCTGCTGGCATAGAACTCTGAAATAAATAAAAAAATGTTCATTAAAGCAGAGCTGATTGAAATGCTGGGAATGTCTGTGCCTAATGCTCCCTGTAGGTCCTGAAAGGGTTAATGCCAGGGGCTGCCAGCAAGAGTTTTTTTATTTGAAGGATTTTTCCTTCTATACATAGATATAAAAACAGAGAGGTGTTGCTTGGACATCAGGTGTTTTTCAGAATTCAGCTGGCTGAGACCTTTTCTATTACTTAGAAACAAACTTTGGCCCCAGGGCAGCAGGAATAAATCACTTGGATACAAATCTTCCCTATAGGAAGCAGCAAGCATCTGTCACGAGGGATGGAGTGAAATCCTGTGTTAATGTTTACCCAGGAAGGCTGCTGGCCAGTTGGTCATTAACTGGGGGATTTGCTGGGTGTTTATTGCAGCTTGTGCTGCCACTTGCTCCTGTGGATCAGAGGTCCCTGGCCTCTGCCTTGGTGTGGGGCTTTTGGGATTGGAGGAGTTTAACAAAAGTGTCTTGAAGGTTCCTCTTAGAACCTGACTTCCCTTCTGTGCTGGCTCTGCTTGCCTTGTTTTACTTGGCACAGTTGTAATTTTCCCCTCCTTTATTTTTTCTTTTTTTAAATTAGGGATGGAAATGTTTTCTCCAAATTGAGAGTTATTCCTGTCACAGTGTTGCTGTTGTTGGTGCAGCTCCTGGATCCTGGTGACACATTTTGTCTGAGTCCCCCAGGAATGTGGGACATCCCTCCCTGCCCTCCCACTGCTGCTGTGCTGTATTTAACAAACAATTACTGAGAAGAATTAATTGCTGGTGATGCAGGGAAGGGGGGGATGTTGAGCACAATCAGCCTTTGAAACATCATCAGCCATGCTCTGTTTCCTGACTTGGTCTTTTCAATGTATTGAAATCATTCAAAATTAGGCAAATTCTCTCCATAGTTGTAGGCAGAAATACCACACTGCTCTGTGTGTTGGGAGGTGAGTCAAAAATTGGTGGGGCAGACTGTGACCTTCAGGTGTTTGAGTCTGCTCATTACATTATTCTGATTTTTTTTTTTTTTTTTTTCCCTTTGAACCAGGTTCCTTGGCAGGTCTGATCGACATCTCTGCCCACTGGATGACAGATCTGAAGGAAGGAGTGTGCCTGGCAGGGTTCTGGTTCAACCACGAGCACTGCTGCTGGAAATCCAACACCACCTTCACCGACAGGGACAAGTGTCCTGAGTGGAAGAGCTGGTCCCAGCTCATCCTGGGCCATGGAGAGGTGATGTGTGCCTGCAGCTGCTTTGTGCTCAATTCCCTGCTTGCCCTGGCCTGATGTGGATGCCAGACAAGCTCTGGTTCACTGGTTCATCACTGAGGTCCTAAAAGGGGGGTCAGTAAACACTTTATGTGGGTGTTGTCCTTGGGGGGGATGTGGGGAGCAAAGCCCTGCCCCGTTTACAGGTGCAGTGTGTCCTGGTGGGCCCAGGATGTTCTGTGGAGGGTGCATTGCCCATGAACATTCTGGGGCAATGAATGCCATGATTGATAACCCAGTGAATGGATGCCCATTCAAGGATTCCTTCGAGGTTCAAGGATTGGGAACCCAGCCTTGAAAGGCCAGACTTAGGGCAGGTCTCTCCACTTTTAGCTGATAACTCTGTGGGATGATCTGCTGGTTCCCTGTGCTCACTTCAGTGCCCGGGTCTGATGTGGTTTCACTTGAAACCATCTGATTTGGGCAATTTCCTCTGTGTTTCAGGGGGCCTTTGCATACATCCTCAACTACCTGATGTATGTCATCTGGGCCTTGATGTTCTCCCTCCTTGCTGTGCTCCTGGTGAAGGGCTTTGCTCCCTATGCCTGTGGCTCAGGGATCCCAGAGGTGAGTGGTTTGTTTTTTGGGTGGGGTAGGGATCCACCACCCAGAATTTACACATGCACGTTGTGCAATAATGTATTCCACTTTAGATGATGGCTTCATACCTAAGAGCTTTTCCAAGCTGTTTGAAGCTTGGTTTTCTCCCAGATTTGCCATAAACCAGGACATGTGTCTAATACTAAAGCCTCCATGCAATCCCTTGGAAAATCAGATGTTTTGGCATTGCTGCAGGAGGGATTTAGGTGTTCCTGCACAGGGACAGTGGCCCTGAGGGAAGGACTCAGATGGCTGCTCCTGCCTTTGCATGGAGAGAGATTTTTCTGGACCCTCACTTTTGATAGCTTAGGGGGGCTCTGGAAAGCTGTAGGGAAGCAGGATTGGGAAGGCCAATAAATGAGGAGCTCTGGGCAGGGCTTGAATGAAAGCCTGTAGAGCTTTGTGTGCTTGACTTCCAGATCAAAACTATCTTAAGTGGTTTCATCATTAGAGGCTACCTGGGCAAGTGGACCCTGGTCATCAAAACCATCACGCTGGTGCTGGCCGTGTCCTCGGGGCTGAGCCTGGGCAAGGAGGGGCCCCTGGTGCACGTGGCCTGCTGCTGTGGGAACATCCTGTGCCACCTCTTCACCAAGTACCGCAAGAACGAGGCCAAGCGCAGGGAGGTGCGTGGGGACGGGGCCTGGGGCTCCTCTTCTGGGGCAGGAGCTTGTGCTTTGGGGCAGGAGTTTGTGTTTTGGGGTAAATGATTCTGTTATGTTAACACTGATCCTTTTGGAGCTCCTTCTTAGGGAATTGGCTCACTCCACCTTTTCCCTGCTGTTTTAAAGCAGCCCAGACCCAGCAGACCGTGCTGTAGATAAAAATTGCACAAATTTAAGTGAAGACAGAGCAGGAAAGGGGGTGGGTGGGAGGGCAGAGAAGCCTGAGTGTGTCTGTGTGTCCCTCAGGTGCTGTCAGCAGCTGCTGCTGCCGGTGTGTCCGTGGCTTTTGGAGCTCCCATCGGAGGAGTGCTCTTCAGCCTGGAGGAGGTAACCTTGGCGTGCTGCTGTAGTGGAGAAATTCCTCCTGCTGTCCACCCTGACCCTCCCCTGGCACAGCTTCAGACCTCTTCCCCTTGCCCACTCTGCTGAGTGTGTGCCAGAGTACCTGGGAGCAAACTTCTCTGGTTTATCAATCTTCTTCCCGAGAACCACCTAATCCTTAATCTGTTGATCTGGATGTGAAAGGATCATTGCTGTTCAGTTTAGGAGAGTACCAGCATGGATTGCAGGGGGAGGCTGGGATGGATTTGCTCAGCTGAGCTGGTGGCAGTGATGGCAGGCACTGCTGTTTGGTACTTTGGACCTCGCAGAGCCACAGAATTCTCTGGATTCAGCTCATGGCTGATGTGTAACAGGTTTTATTACCCCAGTGAGCTGCTCCAGGGATCACGGAGGGCACATGCACGTGCTGCTGTCCAGGCCCTTCCCACTCACTGGGGTCCTCATGGAACTGCATCTCCAGAGCTTGGGGTGCTTGTCTGGGGAGCAGGGAATGAGCCAGCAGCACTCGTGGCTCTCTGTGCTGCCTTTACTCCCAGCACTGGGGTGGTGCTGAGTGTTCAGGTGCCCAGCAGTGCTTTGCTGTGCCCCTCAGGTGAGTTACTACTTCCCTCTGAAGACCCTGTGGCGCTCCTTCTTCGCCGCGCTGGTCGCCGCCTTCACCCTGCGCTCCATCAACCCCTTCGGCAACAGCCGCCTCGTGCTGTTCTACGTGGAGTTCCACATGCCGTGGCATCTGCTCGAGCTGGTGCCCTTCATCCTGCTGGGCATCTTCGGTGGGCTCTGGGGGGCTTTCTTCATCCGCAGCAACATCGCCTGGTGCAGGCGGCGCAAGACCACGCGGCTGGGCAAGTACCCGGTGCTGGAGGTGCTGGTGGTCACGGCCATCACGGCCGTCCTGGCCTTCCCCAACGAGTACACCAGGATGAGCACCAGCGAGCTCATCTCCGAGCTCTTCAACGACTGTGGCATCCTGGACTCGTCCAAGCTCTGTGAGTACGTGAACGACTTCAACAGCACCAAGGGCGACGATCTGCCCGACCGCGCCGCCGGCCCCGGCGTCTACACGGCCATGTGGCAGCTGGCACTGGCCCTCATCATGAAGGTCTTCATCACCATCTTCACCTTTGGCATGAAGGTGAGGCTTGCCTGTGAAGGAGCTCGTGTTGTTCCCTTCATGCTCTGCAGGACCCTGAGAGTTTTATTTCCTCCCTGAGCAGACGTGTGTCCCCCCCAAGCTCTGTCACTGCAGTTCTTTGTCCTGCTGCTCGGGCCTGAGGGCAGTAGAAACCTTCCAGCCCGAGTGTGGGCACCACTGCAGTCACAACACTTGTGCCTCAGGGCTCCACATCCCATTTTCCAGACACTGAATGCTCCTAAATTGTCAGCCTCAAAAAGCCTCAAGCTTTTTTTGATTTAGATGGAAGAGCTAATTGCAAAGCAATCGGTGTCTTCATTTATTAATGCATAACTGGAGCTGTTCCTTGCTCAGAGGGCTTGGAAGTTGTTTGGAGCAGCCTCTGGAGCTGCAGGTGTGGTTCCCAGGTGTGAGCTGCCCTGCAGTGATGGAGCTGATGGAGTTTGCATGTCCCTGCTCATTGCAGGGGCTGTGCAGTCACTAGATGACTTCTCCAGTGTCCCATCCAGCTGAGCTCCAGCCTCCGTGGTCTGAGGTTCCACCCCTGCTCTGTGCAGCCCCAGGGCTGTGCTGCTCACTGCCCCCTGTTCCCACAGGTGCCCTCGGGGCTCTTCATCCCCAGCATGGCCGTGGGGGCCATTGCAGGCCGGCTGCTGGGGGTGGCCGTGGAGCAGTTGGCTTTCTACCACCACGACTGGGCCATCTTCAGTGGCTGGTGCAGCCCAGGGGCCGACTGCATCACCCCAGGCCTCTACGCCATGGTGGGCGCCGCCGCCTGTCTGGGTAAGCTGGGCCTTGCTGGGCCACCTGAGAGGGGTGTGCTGGCTCAGTGCTGGGGCTCCCTGGCCTGGGAGGTGATCCCAGCCTTAAATCATTGAACCCCAGGATGGTTTGGGCTGGGAGGGACTCACCCTGCAGGGGGTCTGTGGTTGTGGGTGGCCATCAGAGCTGGGGTGACCTCAGGAGCCCCAGGAAATGCTGTAATTGCCATGTGTGCCATGTGTGCCACGTGTTCCTCACCCTGGGGTGGTGTTCTGCCATCCCCAGCCTGGTGCTGGGCACAGCAGCTGCAGTGGGGAGGTCCTGAGTGGCAGCCAGAGCAGTTGAGGCTGCCCAGGGTCTTGAATTTTCCTGTGGGGTTTTAATTCATTTTACTTCCTGTTCTGGCCTTAAGTCTTGTGATGCAATTCTGCTTTTAAGTGCTCTGTTTTCTGGTAACACTTCTTCCTCTTGACTGAGTTGGAGAGACTGGGTGCATGTGACTGAGCTTCCCTTTCACAATTCCCAGTCCCCTCCTGCATGGAATATGTTTAACTCCTAAGGGACTATTTTATCAGGAGAAAGTCCCTTCTAAAAACGTGGAATTTTATCAGCCCTGCCCTGGGACTGCATGGCCATGAACAGGAGAGATCTCCTGGAGGGAGGATGGGCTGTGGGGAAGATAAAGAACACTGCAACAGCTGGGTGAACAGATGTTCCATTAACAGGAGATCTCTCCCACAGAGATCAGGGTCACTGCCCTCCTGCTTTAACAGCTGGTGACAAAATCCACACTTTTGGGCACATCCTGTATTGCAACCCAAGACACCATAACATACTAACTTCTTGTGATTAAAAAATAACATCAATATAATAATGTTAATAGTTATGATAGGCTATAGGTAATAGTGAAGGTATTGATTGGTTGTTATGTATTAAGATACTCTGCAATGAAAAGTATAGAATGTATTATAACCAGAACTAGAGCAGCTTCAGAGGAACCCACAAGTGTGGCTGACAGGCTGTGGGCTTGGCTGTTGTTACCCATAACCTGTGAATTGCTGTGTCCTCTGGATACAACAAACGGCATATTAAATAATAAATAAATAGATGAGTGGCTTTATCCTCTGAGTACAACAAGCAGCATTTCCAGGAGCCAGCGGGCTCGGGGTGGCAGTGCAGGGCAGTCCAGCCGTGCTGTCCCCCCCCGGTGACCGCGCTGTGTTGCAGGGGGTGTGACCCGCATGACCGTGTCGCTGGTTGTCATCATGTTCGAGCTCACCGGGGGGCTGGAGTACATCGTGCCCCTGATGGCGGCGGCCATGACCAGCAAGTGGGTGGCCGATGCCATCGGCCGGGAGGGCATTTACGATGCCCACATCCGCCTGAACGGGTACCCGTTCCTGGAGGCCAAGGAGGAGTTCTCGCACAAGACGCGCGCCATGGACGTGATGCGGCCGCGCAAGAGCGACCCCGCGCTCACCGTGATCACGCAGGACACCATGAGCGTGGAGGACGTGGAGAGCATCGTCAGCAGCACCACCTACAGCGGCTACCCCGTGGTGGTGTCCCGGGCCTCCCAGCGCCTCGTGGGCTTCGTGCTCAGGAGGGACCTCATCATCTCCATCGGTGAGAGGGGAGCGGGCTGGGCACGGCAGCTGTGCCGGCCTCGGGGGGGGTCACACCCTGCTGCTGCTGCTCCCTGGGGGAAAACGCTGGGCTCCATAAAAACAACAAAGCCTACTCAGCATGGGCTGGGAAGTTCCAGGTGTGTGGGACGCTGCTTGCCTCAGGTGTGAAGGACAGGATAAGGATTGGACAGAAAAGTCTTGCGAATGTGTATCGTGCTCTTGGGCACCCAGCCTGTTGGGTTGTTCTTTTTCATGAGCCAAGCAGCTGATGGTTACTATAAAGTTGTTTATTGCAGAAGCACGTCAGTTCCCAAAGCAAAAACAAAGCAGAGCAGTGGAAAAAAGCAATGGCATAAAAGCAAAAAAAATGCACCACCTCTCTTTAATGCATGTTCTTTTATAGAAACTTTCAACTAGCTAAGACACAAATTCAATATTTTTAACCTATTAGAATTCTGTTGGCATGGAGGCCAAGAGGAGAAGAGGAGAGAAGATAACTAGGGGAAAAAAACCACCCAGCTGTGGAAAGTAATTTTTAGAAAGGTCCTGGGAAGAATAGGGGTGGAGAACTTTCCACCAGTGATTGCTGTGTTGACTAATTGTGACCAATAAGGTGTAAATTATATAGAGGGTATAAAAGGTGGTGCATTATTGTAATAAACAGGATCTTAGCCTCCTGAAGTATAGTGTGCCTTTTGTGTGTCACACCAGCCTGTGCAGCAACAGGAATAGAAATGATAACAAGTTTTGATATAAAAGAAAAGAATTGCTGAGCCACTTTTACTGAGTAACTAAGAAGCCAAAGGGTAAAATGAGTTGAAAGGGGTTTTTATGATTCAGAGCAAAAGTAAATCCACCTCAAACAAAGATGTTTTAACCAAGCAAAAAGATTTTCACAGGCAAACAAAAATGCCATGTTGGAAGTAAAAAGAAAAATCTCAAAATTTTCTACTGTGAGAAAACTGAAAAAACAACTTCTACCTTAAACTGTAACACATTAACTTTTTGTGATTAGAGAATAGTAACATGAATATGGTAATGTTAGTAGTTATGATAGGCTACAGGTAATAGTGAAAGTATTGAGTGGTTGTCATGTTTTAAGATACTCTACAATGAAGAGTTTATAATGCATTGTAACCAGAACTGGAGCAGCTTCAGACAAACCCACAGCTGAGGCTGGCAGGGCTGGGCTCTGTCACCCAGGACCCCTGAATTGCTGAATCCTCTGGATAC